ATGTCATACATATCGATCATAAACGTTTAACACTGTATCACTAAAATCGTACTTAATATTGTTCCGTCTGTCGCATCGGTTAGACGTATTATTATGTCTCCGTAATATGTAACGGTTTTCATCATACATGGAGATTTTTTACTTTTTGACCATGAACATTCTCGAATTGTTAAATTGTTGATGATATTTACATGGATATATATATATATACTGATACTTGGACTGGGGTGAGTCTTTTATCAGAGTGCAACTTTGTTGCTTGCATTGCATTTATTCTTTAAATATGTATATAAAAAAATGAAGTTTTATTCTTCACTAACTTTCTTCTTTTTCTTTTTCTTTTTTTCTCTTTTCCAATGGTACAATGAAAAAGTTTTTTTTGAATTGGTCTTCCAACCAATTGGCGAACAATTTTCCTCTGTTTCAAGTATTTCAACACTAGCATTACATCAATATGATATTTGTGTTTTTCATTAGCGATTGCGTTTCATCTTACACAGTATATATATATATTTTTATTGTATATTTTTATTATATATTTTTATTGTATTTACATCTGAGGAGAGCTCGAAATTATAGTCGAAACATGTAATATGAATTTATTAAATAATGTCTATTAATAAGTAATTTATCAATATATACACAATTTTTTTAGTTCCATAACGTTTATGTAATCTTATTCATGGACCCCTATTTGCCTTGATGTTATACAACTTTACTATTTTACTATTAAGAATCCTGTTTTGCCTTACTTGTTAATTATAATACAAAATTCTCTCTTTTATTACTTGTTATTTATTACTATCTTCTCCCCCTTCCCTTCACTTGACTCTCTCAATCTCTCTCTCTGTTGTCTCTTGTCGCCTTTTTTCGTATTCTTATCAATCTTCCTATCTACTGTTACCACCCCTACCCTCTTTCAATATCTTTTCTACCTCTTTCTCCTCTGCATCCTTTCCCCATTTATTATGTCGTTCCAGCACATGCTCTCATGTCTCCTTTTCCGCTTCACACATTTTACATTTGCGTTTTTCCTCTTCCATTATTTCCCTCCTTTCATTCTCTAACCTAAATCTTGCTATTTCCCCCTCCTTTCCTCTTTTCCTTAAGTGGCAGTCTCTCCGTTCTAATCCTCTTGTATCATTTGTTGTATTTCGATTTTCTTTCTCTCCTGCCTTGTTTCTCTTCATAGCTTTTCCACCATTTCACGATCTCTCTCTCTCTTCTTTCTTGTTTCCGTCGTCCCTCCATAGTCCCTCTCGTTGTAGAATTTCTCTTACACATGTTCTTTCTAATTTCGATTGTTTTTACATTAAGAGTTCTTTGTCCTTATTTAATCTATATAATTTATGTTTTTACAGCAGAGAATGATTTTTATTAGGTACTTGCCTTTAAAAACACAAATTCTCTGCTTTTATTATGACAACATATGTCAAGTTTATTAAAATCGTAGGCGAACGGTTTATCCTCATTTTTAGTTCACTAACCGATCAATCAACATTCTACCGATTGAAAATGATTTAATTCGACTCCTCATATTATTCTACAAGAGAACATTTATATACATTTTATTTTTTATGTGATCATTGAAAAGTTACAATTTTTTGTTTAAAAAAATCTAAACTTCAAATAAAAATTCTGAAAAAATTGTGTTAGTTTAATTGCATCAAAATGAACTTTTTTTTTGTCTTTTATTGTTAGACTTTTTTATTAAACACTAATTTTTGAAATAAAAAATATCTAAACTTGAAAAATGATAATATATAATTTTTTGGTCATTATGCATATTAAAGGACATCGCGCCGATGACCTTGATCTTGAAATATATTATCAAGGTCATGATTTGAGTAACATTGCTAATAACAACTAGGTTTCTTATATATTTATATTTAAAATTTGAAAAATGGTGTTACTTTTCTACTATATGAAACAGAAATTTCCTGTTTTAAAATATATTTTACGACTTTCGATGTGAAGCAACTTTCATCCTATCTCCCCTCTACTTCAAGGTCGTATGACTTCTACAAGAAGCGACTTCCACCCACTTCTCTCCCTGTCAAAGAGCGTCCGACTTTCCACACGAAGCAAGACGAGATAGGGTAAAACTCGTTTCTTATGGAAATCATCCGCCCCTAAGGGGGGAAGGGGAAAGTATTAGTACAACTTTGCTTCCGCCGTTTTTTTTCCGAAATTCGAGGCTTTATTGTAAAAAACTGGTTATACATTTATGATTCAAAGTATTGTCCATCGCTGGCCACTATTTTCTCCCATCTTTCGGGTAGCGTACGAATCCCGCGTCGAAAAAACTGGTCATCTTTTGCTATCCACAAATCGATCAAATTTTTTACTTCTTCATAAGACCGGAAGTGCTGGTCAGCCAGGCCGTGTGCCATTGATCGAAACAAGTGATAGTCAGAGGGAGCAACGTCTGGAGAATACGGCGGGTGGGGTAGGACTTCCCATTTCAACGTTTCCAAGTATGTCTTGACCACTTTCGCAACATGGGGTCATGCATTGTCATGCTGCAAAATCACTTTATCGTGTCTCTCGTTGTATTGCGGCCGTTTGTCTTTCAATGCTCGGCTCAAACGCATCAATTGCGTTCGATACCGATCGCCTGTGATTGTTTCAGTCGGTTTTAACAGTTCATAATACACTACGCCGAGCTGATCCCACCAAATACAGAGCATGACCTTGGACGTCAAAATCACCGTTCTTGAAGCGTTGAAATCACTCACGACACGTTCTTTCACTAATAGCGGCCTCACCATAAGTATTTGAGAGCATTCGATGAGTCTCAGCCGCAGATTTCTTCATATTGAAGCAAAAAATTAAAACCTCCCGCAAATGACGAGAATTTGGCTCGTAAATTGACATTTTCAATCGAGAATAACTTTATGATGCAGACACAAATCGACTAATGTTTCTATGGGGTTATGTTGACAAATGCCCAAGTTTATTGTATGACGTCTATGATCTATTTATTTCGACCACCACTTACCGCTAAAGCCATCTATAGGAAAACGGCGGAAGCAAAGTTGTACATGCCGAATCGCATCATTACTCAGCACAAAATCAGTCAGAAATCAACTCACTACATAGAGCACCATCTCTAACAAAGGACAGAACTCAACCACCTAAAACTAACTTTACAGAAAAACGGACACGACAAAAAAGACATAATCAAAATAATCAATAAATATGCAAACAAAACAATGGTCTTTGACATACAACCAGGCAAAAGGATCCTATCCATTCTCTCATATGTCAAAGAAATAATAGATCGGATTGGCAGGATATTAAACAAACACAATATCTGAACTATTTTCAAACCACCATCCAAAAAGATAGGACAAATCTTAAGAAATCCTAAAAATTAAAGATCTCCACTCAGCTCAGAATATACAAAATACCTTGTTCCTACGAGCAAGTATACATTGGAGAAACCGGGAGAATGAACCTATGGATAAAAGAATACCAATGTGATGTCAGGTTAAATCACGTTACGCAGTCGGCATTATCAGAATTCAACATTGAAACAAGACATCAAATACTGTTTGACAAAACACTTGACGATCACAATATTATATATACTATTATATATACTATACCAATATTATATATACTTTCCAAGAAACACTAGAGAAGATATAAAAACATAAAGATATGAAAACATCCTGACAATCTAAATAGAGATAATGGCTACAACATAAATAAAATATGGAAGACCATTCTCCCAGTTATTGAAAACCGACTATTCCCTCTCCCCACAATTTTCTTCTTCTCCCTCCCCATTCCAACAAGTAGCGTAATGTAAAAGGAAGGATCCCGAGGAACAGCTCAGTATCAGGCTGCTCCTTGCTTTGATGAAGTGGACTGCAAAGTTCATGAAACGTTAGCATTCTAAGAATAAATCTGAACATGGAAAAAATCCGTGAAACGGATAATTTTTATAAAGTGTATAATTGTATATGGATGTTTTTTCGCAGAATAATATTAGATACCGAATTAAATCACATAAAACGTTGATTAGTCAGTTAATGTATTTTCTAAACGATCTTTTGAGAGTAAACCGCTCGCCTAGTGAGATTGTCAATACAGTTTCACCTTAATTTTTTGTAAAGTTTGGGAGGCTAACTTTATATAATTTAAAATAGATAATGTTAATATTATATGCATTTAAAACAAAAAGTGTGTTTCACGCACAGTGTGCATTGTTTTAATAAAATTTAATAAATTCTTTGATCAAATTCTTTAAGATATATAAATTATTTTTATTTTTAATGTGGCTGTTTTGGTTTTATACTTATTAAATATGAAAGAATTATATTATTTTTTACGCGAATGAAATTGATATGTATTACCACGCGACATACTTATTGTAAATATTTTTCGAACAAAATCTGTACATATAGGCCGCATTCGGAAAGATGCTATTAGTGCTATTTGTTTATCTTTACATCTAATGAATAATAAAGATAAAATTTATATAATAGTGTCTCTCCATACTCATAGCAAAATGATAAGAATTATAGACGCCGACTATGGAGGAGAGTGGAGGGCGGGGAGAGGGCAGACCACTTTTTGCCCATTCAATAAAATTGAATTGGGGGGGGGGGACAATATCCATTATTTCTTGGTTTTAACAAAAGTTTTTTAACAATTACAAATAATTTCTGCGATCAAAACTGCGAGAAAACATCGGTCACGTGACATATACGCTATGCATAATGTTGATGTGATGAATTGAAATTAGCAACGCTGTTTAGGCACGTCTCTGTCCTAGGGTACCTTCCAACAAACATAAATGATACATATAATATCATTACATTCTTGTTGTTTGTCAATATTAAATAAGGATAAGATGATCATGGTGTTGTATTGAATCGCTTATTGACATTCTAATTCCCATTCTGTGCTTCTCGAGTATCATGTCATCCTTGTTTAATATTTGTTAAATAACAAAGACATCTGGAGAGCACTCAGGTGAGAATCTGAACATGCCTGAAAGGAACCCCTATAGTGTCCCTGCACATGTATCACAAAGAAAGAGAGGAGGGTCTTTATCCTGTAACTGCAAAGTATCTTGTGCATTACAGCCCTCTGAAGAAGTCGATGTCAACTATACATCCACTGTTTTGCGATGCTCTTGATGATTAATGAATCGAAAGCTTAATAATGGGCATTTATTACCCATTTACTGTCTATAAACTATCTATTAATTGGATATTTATTGACAACAAACATTCTATATATAATAAATAGCCCATTATTAGGCTTCCGATTCATTAAATAAAATTTGATTCCTTTTTTTTCAGGATTTTATATTGATGTTGCTATGCGCCGTTTGTGGTATATCAGGAGATCGACGTTATATCACTATTCCTGTCGATGGTATTGATGTTGTCGATGTCATCAAGGTGAATGCAATTGCACCTTCATTATCAAGAGTAGCAAAACAAACAAAAGCATATATACCAATCGTTGTATCTAGCGTTTCTCAAGATGATTCCGAAGTACAGCGATTGGCAACGCATGTCCTGGATTATGTTGATTTCGGAGGACATACCGGATCCAATGGAGCTTTCAGTTGGTATGCTGATTATCCGGCTCATCGTTCGTAATTTTCTGAAATAATAACTTACCGAAATGAATCGAAAAGAACGTAGAACATCATAAAACATTGTTAGTGTAATACATAATATTAGAAGTTATGTATATATAGGGTAAAGTCTAGAGACCTTTTAATAAAAGTTGCGACATGAGAAAGTCGCATTTTTATTGGTCCATATTTTAAAAATTCCCGCCTATATATGAATATTTATATTCGTGTTACTCTTAAATTTTAACAATATAATTAAAATTAATTTACATTAACAAATAGATTTCTTACATTACGTTGAGATAATGCGTATGCAAGAAAAAGTTTAGTTTAATCTTTTTTTTAAATAAAATTATTTTGAAAATTTAAAGATTTGATTATATACTTTAAAACGAGAATTAAAAGGTACAAAAATGAGCAAAAATATATATATATATATCATTAGAATATTTATAATTTCATTAGTCAACACCTAATTAATATTATAATTTTCACATCGCTTTTAATTTGATAAAATCGTGTTTGTAGCTAATTGCTTTGATATATTGCCAAGGTTATAATCCTGAATAATATTAAAATATTTTAATCTTGATAATTTTAATATCTTTAAATTGCTAATTTATTATTTGAGGTATATACATAATATTAGGCTGTTTTCCTTTTATGAGACACAAATCGACACAGTTTAATACATTCGAACACAGTTTACCGCATTTAAATGGAACGCAATGCAGTGTGTATGCAAACTTTTAATATCTAATTTTTTAAAAGATTTTAGTTAAAAATAGTTAAAAAAGAACAAAATGATAGGAATTGGTTTGTGTATACATTTTAATATTGTGTATACATATTAATAATATAATATATTAAATTCGTTAAAAATCACACTT